TCCATACTGTCAAGACCTCAGGCCAATATTCTCCCAGTACGGCTCTTGCACTTGGTTAATAAGATATATGTAATATGCCATCATTCCCTTTGTCTAAAATCTTCATTTAATCTATGACAGGAGTATAGAGGAACTTCAACAGCAAAACCAGAAACTTCTGGGAGTCATCAGGGAATTAAGTGAGGAGAAAGAAAAGAGAGAAGGAGAAGACATGTTAGTTGTGTGATATAAGAATTTTGAAAGATATTTCCTTTCTTTTATTGTTCTCCTTTGAGTGTTGATTTTGTCAATATGCAATGCATTATTGATCAACATTTGTTAAGGTGTTCTTAGTGCTGAATTTAAAACTCTTTGACCAGTATGAAGGGGTTACAGAATCAGTTGGACATGTCACTGAAGGAAGTTGAAGTTCTCAAGGAATCAAGAGAGAGGCAAATGAATATGGTCAGTATTAAAGTCATTTATTATATGAAGAAGAAATTAACTTGCCATTCCCAACTCTTTTATCAGCACTTTTTGCAAACTCTCCTCATCAATCTAATGTTGTGTTTTGTTCTCCTTGATTTTTAACAGGTTGAGGCTGTGATCAGGCAACGGGACATGTACCGTGTTTTGTTAGCCAATAGTGGACAAACTCCAGTACGTAGCCACTATTTTCCTTTTTCTTTGGCTGTGTTTTCCACTAAGAGAATATTTCTCTGCCAGGTTGACATTTGGAACATATACATGTACATGCAATCAATAAACAGAATTGATTTCCCCAAATACTGTTATGTAGCGCCCTATAAACGATTCGCAAAGTAGCTGCCACTGAGTGCAATAATGACTTGTAACTTCAACTTGCTTCCATGTTGAGGTATGGCTTTCTCTGAATAATATCCTTGAGAGATTTTGTCTCCTGAATTTTTTTAGTCTTATCACCATGCTATTCCTGGATTTCAGATCCCAACAGGAGACCTCGACCCATCTGTTTTGGCATCTTCTCCATTACTCAAGACCCCGGATAAGTCAAGTGCCGAACTAGAGGAAACTAAAGTGGCTCTAAAAGAACTACAGAGACATTTTGAAACCTACAAAACTGGGAGAGTACAGGCTGAGGAGTAAGTTTGTAACCTATGCCTTTTAAACGGGTACAGTTATGCTTTATCAGGGCTAGACACTAACGGTAGCCAACTAGCCATAGACTAGCAGAAATTCAGTTTTGGCTAGAGGTTTTTGATTTCCACTAGCCAGTTTGGCTAGTAAACAATTGAAACTGAAATTGTCATAGCATTTAAATTGCCCTGTTTATGTTGTGTCTTCTCAACGTTATATGACGACTGCTACTATAATAGATAAATTGGCCATCTATAATCTGTCACAAATTCATCATTTTCTTGTTCCTATAATAAAAGGAATATGATCAAGTAAAGGAGTGATCCTTGCATATGAGCTGCAGTCAAAGAAATTCCAGAAAGAAGCCTGCAAAATGTTCTCACTTTGACAGCTAATCCTCTGTTGATCTCAGCCATCTGAATGCTAAATTAAATTGATCCTGTCGTAAGCAGCCAGCTTTCAAGTTTGTTAGGGTGGCCATCCTATACAAATTTGACTGTATGCCAACATGAAAGGAGAAAGCTCGTTCAAATTTTATTCTATTAACCTATTGATGTCCAGTGCGCCCATAAGTGCCCATGTGGAACCACACCCTTTCTACGCCTTGTGACGTCATCACTTCTAACCCTGGAGCACGACTTTGAGCACGTACTTAAACCAGGTTGAAAATATCTTACAAATGATACCAGAATGAGCGCAATTGAGTRAAGGAGATTGGAGAAATAGCCAAAAAACCATGTAACTTTGACCTGAAAATCTGCACAAAAATCTTGTTCCATTACCCACCTACCTTTCTGAGCATGTGGTTTGAAAATAATGAGTAGTTTCCTAAAAAGTCTCTACACCAAAATGAAGCCTACTAAATTTCCAGCAAGTGAGGAGAAAATTCAGGCAAGGAAAGGGGAAAAAAGGGCAGGAGAAAGAGAGAAAAGTAAAAGTCATAAGTGGGGCATTACTTTTCAGCCCAAAAACTATCTCGAAATTTTGCTTTCTGCGCCTGCCCGAGATTTTCAGGCCGCCATTTTGCATTTGGATCGAAAGGCTGTCGAGTGTACAAGCTGTCAATGGGTTTGTGGTAAGTTTGAGCTTTTAAAACCACAACAGTGACCCGAAATCTGCTCGACTAGCTTCAAAACACAGTTTTAAACAAAAGCTGCGGCTATTAATGGGTTAATGTAAATTTCTTTCCTGAAATGTATTATGTGTTCCTTGTTTTCTAGAAAATTGAATGAAAGGCTAGATAAATTACAAGCTGAAAATCTTGAGTTAAATGGAAGCAATGCCAGATTGAAGTCTCAGGTCAGATCTATGGATTTCTTTTCCTTTTTGTGTCACTTACACTTAGATGTTTAAGAGACTGCTGTTGATCAGCCAACAAATTTTTGTGTATTTTTTGTTAATCTCAAGTTAACCTTCACGAGAAGGACAGTACTATTATTTTTGGTTATGACTATTCCATTGATATTTTCAGGAAATATAAGCTTTATATGACTCTGTCTTCAAATGTTTGTGCAGTCAGTTAATTCTTCTGATAGTAATGATAATAATGATAATTAAAAAAACTTAAGGTTACCTTAGTTGTAAAATTTGTCTTAACCAAACTCAGGAGAGGAAGGTAAAAAGAACTCAAGATAGATGAATTTTTTTTTATCATTTCTGCAATGATCTCATGAATCCAGCTAAATAATTGTACTTTCCTCTTGCCACACAGCTGGAGTTTGCCGAAGAACGTTATGGAATGTTGAAGTCAAACTCTGAGGCTTTCAAGAAAGAAGCATCCGCTGCCTCTGAGAAGTCTCAAAGCTTGCAGATGGCACTTGGCAAGTTGCAAGCTAATCTTGACAGTCTATCACAGGTGTGTTAATATACCAGGTTAGAAATGGGCAATGGAAGATTGCAATCAGTCATGAGGTTGCTTTAGAAACTTTCAAGAAAATAGATTTGCAAAGCTCATAAACCAATTGTAGTTATTGCAGTAGTTTATGATCTAATTAACAGCCTTGATGGGCACAGGTTCAATTTTATTTCAGACTTTTTTTCAATTTTGTTTTACCAAGAGTACTATCTGTATTGGTATCTACTTTTAAGATATATAGAAGGAAAAAAAAGCTTCAAATTCAAGCTAGACTTTGGGATCACCTCAGCAGTTGGGCTTCAAATGTCAACATCTTTGAATTTTTCTCAGGAAAGTGTTGCATAAAGCAGGACAAGTATAGGGTTAACCACCATCAAAATACCAATATATCAACAGGAGTCTGAGAGAATAAACAGTTGGAGAAAAAACTGTTAAGACCCTCTTCTAACAAAAGTTCTTACTTGTGCTAGATATTAAGTTCATGGAAGAGTAAGTGTCTCAAACATCACTCAACTTGTACTGTTTCTTTTTTAAATAGGAACTAACAAACACCAAAGAAAAATTTAATAAACTTGAGGTGGGTTTCTTAACGAAGTTTTATCTTTTTTTTGAGAGTATAGTTTCTAACAATCCAAGCACACAGAATGTTCCAAACTTTTTCGTGAGTTGTTTACCTATTTATGTAAGCTATTCTGATTACACTAGTTGGTTGATCAGTTGAGTTCTGCAAATGGCTCATTAGCCTGTTTCTTACCTGTTATACATATATGTGGCATGTATGGTTAAGTGTTCTGCTGTGTTTCCCAGAAACAGTCACCCTTATTCTTGCATTTTTCTGTGAATGGTCTCATTTTATGAAGTGTAACAGTGTTGTTTGCTAGTTATGAGAAAAAGATATTTAGAGCTGTTATAAACCTCAACAATATCTCATTCATTTGCAATTATCTCTTTTTATTGATGTTGAAAATTGAGTGTGATAAAGGAAGGCATTTGTTTTGAATAGCGTGCATGTAGTTACCTTTTTGTGAACAAAACAGCATTGATGCAGAATTTTACCTTAATGGACATAAATGTTGACAAAAACAAGAGTCACTTATGACATGCTGCAAGTTAATTATTCTGTAACGTAAATGCATCTCACAATTTATAATCATAAAATGACAAAGGATGATTAATTTCTTTTAGTGGTTGAACCAGTCCCAAACATTGTTGTAAAAGGTGTAAGTATTACCCTCTCTAACTGATGCTTGCTGATATTTATAGAGCATTCTGTTTTCTCGTCAAATTTAAGGTAACTTGCGAAAACATGAAAGGAGAGAAAGCCATGATGAAGGAGTCAGAGGTTCGCCTAATGCAGGAAAACAAAAGCTTGTTGGAACATCAGAAATCACAAAATGTTCTGGTGACAAATCTACAGACTCTACAGGTTAGCTAGAAATGGAAATAAGAGGGGTAAAGGAGGGGTCCTGCACATGTTTCATGCGAGTCAAAAAGTGGAAGTAAGGCATTATGAAAAATTGGATACACAACTTAGGGGTAAAGGTTCACATGTTACAACAACAAAAAATTCACTTTCCAGGAGTTTTTAATTTTGTGTTTTCACTGGTCAGGAAATTAAAAATGCACAATCCAGTATTAAGCAGTAACCACTTTCCCCCCTCAAATAAATCACCCAAAACACCAGCTGATGCAATAATTATTTATTATAAGTTCCTTACATTGTAGCTGCAGCCAATCTTAGATGTCAAAACATGTTAAGTTCTGCTATAGTTGTAAATCCAGTTGGAACTCTTTACCCAGTGATCTCACCTTATCCCACAGATATTCTAGCTTTCAGATTTTATTTATTCATGAGGTACTTTGATGTGCTACAGATATTTTTGTTTAACCCTGATAACAGCAAACTTAGACTAGCTACATACATGATCTGATTTTGAATACATAATGATCAGAAAACATTTGTTGAGCCTGAACTATTAACATAACTTTTCACTGATCTATTTTGTATCTGGTATATTCTGCATTATAGAATAACTTAGAGAGATCTGAGTTTGAGGCAAGAACAAGACTTGGTTCTCAAGTTGAGACCTTACAGCGTGAAGTGAATCTTCTGAAGAGGAAGCTGGAATCTGAAGACAAGCATCACAAGAGTGTCATCGATACTTGGCAGGTGAGAAATGACTTTTGCTATTGTTTTCTTACTCAACCATAACACCCTATGTAGTGATCAAAAAGGAACTTCTCCTTAAAGTATCAGTATGTTTTCAAGGATAAAGGTATTGAGAAGAAAGACAGAAGTGATATCATTCTGTTAACATTTCAATCCAGCTTTAATAATTGAGGAAAATTGATATGTTCTGCATTTGTTGGCGTAGGCCAATATGAAGTTAAAAGGTTGAAAAGTCAGATTACATCAGTGAATATTGTTGATTTTTGAGGTACATACATAAGCAGCGAATGGAATTTTTTTTTGTTTGTTTTGGAATAGAACCGTGTTCAAGAACTACAGTCACAACTGAATGCAGAGATGAAAACTCACCAGCAGGCAAGGGAACAGCTGCTAACTTCAACCCGGGATATTGATTCAGTGCAGCTCAGAGTAAGTGCTGTTGACTTGTTGCAGTTCAGTTTGGACTATGTTAATCCTAAGAAAACTCAGTTCAGTGACAAACATGTGTAATGAGGACTGTAGTATGATTACCCTGGTAGTCGGAGAGGAAGTTCTCATTAGAAGGGCTGTGTGGTACAGGCTTTTCTTCACCTGTGAGTAAGTTTGAGGCTCTAAACAAAGCCAGTGGACAACAGGTCTTTGATGGGTCTGCTGGCTGGCTTGCTTTACTCAAGGCCTAAAACTTTCATGCAGGCAAAGAAATGCTTTTGCTGCAAGCATTCAATCCTTAAACTCTCAAGATCTGTTTGTTAATTCTCCCCTCTAGCTGCTACACATCGTTTTGTAAAATAGTTACAAGAATTTGGTGTTGCATTGAGATAACAATTTCTCTCTGATTAGTTTGAGTGTTCTCATTGCCTCTTTGCTGGAAAATGTATGGATATTATAAGGAGAAGTTACATGTTCATCACTGATGAGAGTTAAAGGGTTAAAATGAGGGCCTGTTCACTGGCTAGTTGCTCGACTTGTTAGTATATAGTCAATTGTATTACTTTAACAAACTTCAACTCTTTGACTCCCAAGATCTGTGATAGTGTAGTCTGATTGTTCAGATGGTTGGAGTCGTAAGAAGGACTGTTGTCAGGGGTGGTGACAGACTTTTCAACAACCTCAGCAGATGTCATGATCAGAGTCTTTGACTCAGATGACTCTGATGATGACTTCCACTCAGGCTGTCAAAACATCCGTCACCACCACCACCAACAACAACAGTCCTTCTCACGACTACACCCACCCGGATGATCACACTACACTATCACATGTTACCCCTGGGTTCAACTGTATCCCAAGTTGTGTTTGTTAATTCTCTCCTTTAGCACATTTCCTTGTATTGTAAATTAGTTACAAGAATTTGGTGCTAGATCAAGATAACAACTTCTACCTGATAAGTTTGAGTATTCTCATCGCCTGTTTGTTGGATAATGTATGGATATTATAGGGAGAAGTTAAATGTTAATCACTTCAGTGTATTATTGTTTTTTCGGTTTTTACACAGTGTACTGAAGCTGAAGCCCAACTGCAAGCTGCTGAGAGACGAATAGCTGACATTTTAGGAAAAGATACAAGTTCTCTCCAGGAGGGTAAGTGTTTTGTTGTAATCTCTTTTTGGTGAAATGCATCTAGATGCCTTCTTGAAAGTGTTTAACACGACTGTTACAATAACTTGGATATATCATCAAAGTTGAAGTGGTAAATTGGCCACCATAACAATTACAAAAGCTGACGTTTCGAGCGTTAGCCCTTTGTCAGAGCTTCGACGAAGGGCAAATGCTCGAAATGTCAGCTATTGTAAACGTTACGGTGGCCAATTTACCACTTCAACTTTGTTGATATATCCAAGTTATTTCATTACTCCCACCGACGCAGCCCCAAACAGTTTCTTTCGAAACTATCAGCCTTTATTCATTTGACACGACAAGATTTTTAAATAATTATGCATTTCAAAGTTTTCAGTGGTTTTGTCTAATTTTTTTTAGTACAGCGTTTTTTTTGTTTCATGTTTTGTTTTTTTAAAGTAGTCATTGGAAAGTATATTTTTACGACCCAAATTCTTTAATTACCTTATATTAACCAAATGTGTAATGATGTTTCTTAATTTTATTAGCTGACGAAGAGAGGATAAGAAAAGAGGTTGAAGAACAGTACACCATCAAGGTTCAGGAATTTGAGTTGAAATTAACCACTGCAGAGGTAAAAATGAAAGGTAAGCTGCTGCAATGTTCTCTGTGTAATCATTCTTCATTTCACCACAAAGAAATCTAGGAATGTCTAGTTTGCCCATTAAAACCTGTTTGAAATGCATCATGGCCTCCAATTTACAAAGGAGCAAGGAAAGGTACCGGTACTTGTCTGACTGGGAATTTTTCTTACTCCTGATGACGAGGTGTCTTTTTATGGTGAAATGATAGACATTTAATTATAGACTTAAAAGTCGAATGTAAAGATCCTGGAAAGAAATATATTTTGCTTTTTAAGCTGGGTTTAATAATAATGTGGTGAACTTGTTTGTTGGTTTGTACAGGCCTTGAGGAACAGTTGGAGCAAGCCAAGCAACATGTTGAACAGTTTAGATCCATGTCAGAAGCCAATGAATCTGCTCTTGGTGATTTGAACAAGGTTAGTTTTAATTAGCTTTTACTTTCCTTTTGTTGAATACAGAACTGTTGTTTTAAGTCTTCATACCTCAGACTTCAGTCTACCATCAGCTGTGTCAGTTCTTCATAGAGATAATATTGTAGAGATACACTACAGTTTAGAGCTACAATGACTCAGCAATGCATACCCTGATTATTCAATTTTTTTTTTTATCTCAAATCAAAAGTGATTTTCTCTAAGTGTGCTCTGTACATTTGATGATAATTTTACCCTGAATAAATCAAACCTTTTTTTGACTCAAAATTCCAGTTTTTTTCTGACCTAAATATTCATCAGGGGCTATCATTGGTTTTTTTCAATCTCCAACTGATATTTCAGTGAAAGAGTTGGGTGTCTATAGGCATGGTCATAGTTACGATGGTCATAAGAAATTGTTACTCCAGTTTAAACCAGGGAGAAGTTTTCATATGATTGCTGCACTTTTACTGTAGCAATCACATGGAAACCACGCTTAACAGCAAAGTTTTTCTTCTACTTTCCAGGCAAGTGATGAATTTAAACGATCCACAGAGGGTAAACTCAAGACAGCAGAGCAAGATATTGCCCAGTACAAATCTCAGATTGCCACTCTTCAAGCCCTGAACCAAGATCTTAATGCAACAAGAGCCAAATTAACCAGAGAAGCTGAGTCACAAACTAAGAGTTTACGTGACATGTTGAGTAAGGTAAGGGGGGAGCTGGATGAGGCTTTAAAGAAGGCCCAGACATCTACTGCAGCTGAGATGACAGCAAAAGAGGAACTGAAGGAACAAGCTTTGTTGGCTACAGAGGTAATCTTTCAAACTAAAGAATATAATTTATAAAGAGTTCTTTTTTTTTTTTCTGGTTCTGCATACTCGCACTTAGAGTCAGAGTGCTCAAACATTTATCCTTTCTCAACTGTATCTCACCTGTTACAGTATTCACATGCAAGACAAGTTGCACTGTAGGAAATAATTGAAATAAATTTGAGGACAATAATATGAATATTCACTAGTTCTATGGTTTTCTTTGAGGTTTTTTTGGTGTCAAAATTTTAGGTCTGGCAACCATTGATATAAGATTCCCAATTGATGAGTGTAAAAAGTTGAGATTGGAGTCTTGAGTGAAGTTACCAAAATCTAATATGAAAATTTTTTTGTCTCAGCCACTTTGAACCCTTTTGTACCAAACACACAACTCTTGTTGAGAACATGCAATCAGTCAGAACCAAAATGAACTTAGAAAACACTTGTATTTATATTTCTGTAGGCTCAAGATAAGTATGAGAGGGAACTTGTCCTCCACGCTAATGACGTTCAAGCTTTGTCCACAGCTAAAGAACAGGTAAATTAAAGTGATTCATGACATGATGTTGAAAAGTTATTTTTTCCTTTCAGCACTAAGGAATAGTACAGTTTTGGGCCTTGAATCTAAAAGGTCCTGTTGAGACTTACTTGGTAACACCTCCTACTGACAAATACAGACTTTGTTTGACTGGGACTGGACAGAATGACTATGAAACTCAGAAAACCATTAACATTGTTCAAACAGTTCAATACTGCCAGATCAGATAGTGACCTTAATCTAACCACGATGTCAACCACAACAAAGACAAGGCAAAACAAGAGATTTAATATGCAAAACAATAGCTCAGCAGGTGGGTTTTTAAACCATGAAAACAAATCACCATAATTTGTGTGATCTGAGCACAGATATCTTGATAGCAAAACTATTTAAGTTTCCTTTTATAACTCAAAGCTACTCACATATATTTATACCTGGTGTTCACAACTATCTTGGTTCATAGTAATAAAAAGAAGTAATGAGTAGCAAAGGATACACCACATTGCTAAATTGTTAAATTTGCATTTAGATGATTTCTCAAAATACCACAGGAAAGAAAAAAGTTTACAGAATTTTTTAGTGTTGTTCCAATGAACTAACTATTAGGGCCTAGGAGAATCGGTCTATGATTCTTTCAAGAAATTCCTGAGTCAAAGCCAGTCTATTTTTTAAGTAAAGGCTGATAGTGTCTAGAGAAACTGTTTGGGGCTGCATCAGTGGGGGTAACGAAATAATGTGGATATATCAACAAAGTTGAAATGGTAAATTGGCCACTGTAACAATTACAAAAGCTGACGTTTCAAGCGTTAGCCCTTCGTTGGAGCAAATAGAGGAATTATGGGTTGTGTGTGCTTTTTTTATTTGTGTTTTTCTCGTTGCCATGTTCCCACCAACAACGTAGCTCCATTTTCTACCTTTAATAGCAGACACAACCCACAATTCCTCTATTCGCTCCGACAAACGGCTAACGCTCGAAACGTCAGCTTTTGTAATTGTTACGGTGGCCAATTTACCATTTCAACTTTGTTGATATATTCAAATTATTTTTTAAGTAGGCATCCCTTGTTTGCATCTTGTAGGGAAGAGTGCATATGATCAACTGCTCTCTCTTAAGTGAGTTTCCTCTTTAATTTTTTTTCTCACAAGCTCCAAGAACAAAGCAGTAAGTTTAAAGAAATAGAGGACCGTGCCCTGGCAGCAGAACAGAAACTGCAGGAATATGCAAAGTCTTGGGAAGATCAGAAAAAGGCAAGAGCTTCAGAAGCTAAAAAACTAGAGGCTCGCTGTGCTGACCTTGTGAATCAAAACTCCATGCTTCATGGCCAGCTAGAAAAGGTTTGTTTTAAGTTGATCATTTCAGGAACACCAAGTAATTGATTGATGAAAAAAATTAAATTGATGGTAAATTTTTATACCCCTTTTTTCTTACTTGCCAGGAAAAATAATCATAAAAACATTTAATCACAACTTTTGAAGTAAAAGAGAGAGACAAAAGTTACTTTGCATGTATCTACTTAGATTTAGTTGAATGCCAAATAATTCATACTTGAATCCAAATGTAGGCTTTTAAGCTCTTCCTTAGCTTGTTATTTTGGGGAAAAAAGAAAAACATGATTCTGAGTCATTTCTCTAAGGATTCTTATTTCATTAAGTGTTTTCCAAAAGTAGCACTTTTCATTTATAAACGGATTTTTAAATGTGTGGACATTCTCTTTCAACAGATTTTTAAATGGGTGGACATTCTTAAAAGAATGTCCACCCATTTATTTCTTAAGTGGCAACTGTTTTTCCTTTTGCAAGCCAAAAAGTATATCTTTCACATTTAGAATAGATTGGTTATCAATTATATTTAAAGTTGACTTTCAATCCATCTTCTAGCTCAGTTCACAACTTGCTGGTAGTAAACAAATGGAAGTGAACATCCCTGTGACAGCCCCAGAAGGCATTGCAGCAGAGGGAGATGAAGAGGCTAACAAGAGTATTGAAGAACTCTGGGAAATCATCAGGTTTGTATGAGATTACCCTTTTTACTTCTAATCTGTTACCTATAGGCATTGAAAAAAAATGTTTTTAATATTTGTTATGGCTTTTCAACAGTCCGTCTCTACAGAGAAACATATGAAGCTAAAGAACTTACCCTTTTCCCAACCCAACCTTAATCACAAATTATTATCAACTGATTGTTGTTAGTTAACATAACAAAATATAAAAACTTTATTTAAATGTCAATGTCTTTAGCTTAAAATCTAATTGGGGACACCAAAATGATAGGGAAAAAAAATTAAAAATGAGTTTATACATGGTATCATTAGGTATTTCTAGTTCACTAAAATCTAAAATTTATAGAAATTTAAAAGTTAAAAAGTTACAGAGTTATCCTCACTAAAATATACAGAAAAATGATAAAAATATTTATAAGAATTCACAAGAACTATAAATGAGACAGGAGCCACAATTCAGGGGGGTTAGGGGAGGGTAGGTTTGCAATTGCTCAGTAAGCTAACATTGAGTATCAAAGGAATGGAGGGGGGGGGGGAGATTCAAACTGAAAATCCTCTGTTGTGGGTTGTTGAGATTTTTAAAAAGAACAGCACATTAGTTTCAAATTTATGTAACTTAACCAATCACTACTTTTTATTGATTTTAAGATTTGTTCGTCGGGAAAAGGAGATCTCTGAGACAAAGTGTGAACTATCACAGTCAGAAAGCATTCGCTAACAGCAACGCTGTGAATACCTGGAGGCACAAGTGGAAGACATGCAGAAGAACATGACTGAGGAAAGAACGCAGTCAGAGATCAACACTCAGACTGCAGCTCAGCATGCAGAGGTCATGGAGAAAGTGGAGCGGCTCAATGAAGTTATTGAGAGCAATAAAGTACTGAAAAATGAAAAAGAGAGTGCAGAGAAGACAGTAAGAGAGCTTATGGAAAAGGTATGTTGTATTTTAGTTTTACATTGAAGTGAAACCGCTTGACTGCACCCTGTGGCTTCACTTTAGTTCTGAAAATTGTTAACATCGTTTCTGTGATTAATAAGGTTATAGACAATGGAAAGTTGTGGTTGATTTGTTAAACCAGCCCTGACGTTATTTGATTTTTTACATAGATCCAGGGATTAGAAGGGGAGATGAAACCTCTGAGAGATGGTGTGCAATCACTTACATCACAGAAAGATGCTTTGTTGGCCGAGAAAACAGCTCTTAAAAATGAGGTAAGTCCAGGTCATTAACCTCTGCAAAACTGAAGTAGGAGAATTTTCTATGAAACTTTTTAATTAACAAAATTAAAAGAGATGCCAGGCTAAGACAAGCATTGTAGTAATTGAGAGCTTGCAATTCTCAGTTGAAAGCTTAACTCTTATCGTTGCTGGAATGAAAAACATCTTTTTCTTCAGATGTTTCTTGTATCTGTCTTATACACAATGTTATTAATTTATGATCCATTGAATATTTTTGCTTGTGTGCGTTTGGTTTTAACGCATTACTCAAGTGATATTCCCCAATTTTCAAACCTTATTATGGTAGGTTGTCGTTTAAAACTTAATTCAAGATAAGAGAGTGTTTTATGGTTGTTACAGAAGAAGGGAAATAATTTTTTGCATTTTTTGTTCAATAATTCATATCAGAGAACACATCCTATGTTGCACACAGTAAGCTGTTCATAAACATCCTTTCATGCTTGTTGGAAAATATTTCAACCATAATAAACACAATAGCCCCTATTTTGCATGAAAGCATGCTTGTATATTTTTATCCTTGGACATTTTCTGTTCCTTGAAGCTCACAGTTTTCCTTGAGCTCTGCTCTTGGAAAACTGTTGGCATCTTGAAAACAGAAATGGTGCAACAAGTAGGAACAACCATACTATCTTAGAAAATTCTTCTGATTTGCATATCAGCAATGGGGCAAATCCAACTTCGACACTTTCTTTCATAGATTGTTCGCTGGACAGCAAAGATCAAACAGTTGACGGAACAGTACAAGGATGTTGATGTTGATGAGTATAAGAGAATTAGAGAGGAAAAAAAACAGTTTCAACAACAGATATCCAGCCTGAAAGTTGATAATCAGAGAATGAGAACTCAGACAGAATCCCTGAAATCTGACTTGTCAAAAACGCAAGGAGAGTTAGCAGGACTGAAGGTAACGTCAGTGCCAATGATATCTTTGATATCAAAAGATGCTCTTGTGGTTTAAGGGCTTATATCAAAGTCATTAATGATTGTGATATTTGAAAGCAGTTTTTAAATTGGATTTCAAAACCTTGATATAGTTTAAAAAATTTATTCTGTACCCAATTCATCTCCAGTTACTAGTAGTTAACAAATAAATAAGCCTTGTCTTTGCTCTGTTGTGTTGTGAAATACAACAGGAAGCAGCGAGAACATGAAAGAAATTAGAGTTAAACATGTAGTCAGGTGTTTGTCAATCCACAATCCTTGCCCTTATCCTTAATTTAGATTTGAAATTTAATGGGTAAACATGGCAAACGGCAGTCAATCACAAACTGATATTTGGGTTTTGATGAAAAATACTTACCGGTACCGAATTTACCCCACAGATAGGTGGCACCCATGTATAGGCTACACTTTACACTTTTGATTAATTTTGGTGGAAAAAATAAGGGGTGATGTGTAATTTGAACTCTCATGGCTGTTATAATGAAACCCACTAGCAAAGAAAAGTTGTAAATGTATAAAGCTGGTGTACAATAAAATGAACCAGAGGTAATCTTGCAATGTATGAGGTGTCTTGTACCCCTGTATAGGCCACACTCTAAATTTTACTCTCATTTTTCTAATAAACAATGCAGCCTATCATGAGTAAATATGTTACTTGAGAGGTTTTTTTAAAATTGAAAATAAAGAGTGAATAATTGGAAGGAGCAGAGAGATTGTCTCATATGTATTGGTCAGGAGATAAGTTCAGATTAGTCTTTTGTCAGTTCATTGTTATCTACATAGTCATGCAATGCTCATTGTGGGAATTACTATCGGTTTTTCAGGCAATGTCACAAAAATCAACTGATCAGGTGGGAAGTCTAAAGGAAGAACATCAGAAAGAAGTATCTAAATTGCAGCAGGAGGTGGAATCACTAAGGGTATCTGTAGAAGCCAAGACAAAAGAAGTAAATGACAAGAACACAACTCTGCTACAGGTTAGAATTGGCTCAAACACATTTGATCACTTACAAACATAGAATAAGGGCTAGCTCACTGAGGAAATCTTTGTTGTTTCTTGGTAAAGCACTGGATAGAGAAATTTAAAGGGATGAAGTTTGAATCGTATGTAAACCCATGAATTTTGTTTGCCCTCAATTGTGACGATAATCTACATCTTTCTTTGTCTTCATTCATTCTGATTAGCAAACTAGGGAGCTATGTCTCGGTATCATTGAATTTAAAATTATTTTAGCATGCGTGACTATTTTGGACCTACAATTTAGCATCATTTCACTGTACATTGTAACTTCACAATCTAGGAATTTACAATGAGGTGAGAAAATTACTTGCAAAAAAAAAACCTGCCCTAATTTCATCTTCAATATGTTAAGTACTCAAGTTACTGATGACCTAGTCAAACTGACGATGATTCATCAACAGTGAACTTGGATAATTCACTAAGGGTTGTAACCTTTTGACCTCTGTAAGTGACTGGTATCAAAGTTATCCTTAGAATATCACCCCAAGTTACAAGAATAAAGGAAATGATCACCAACTGAAGAAGCTTGTTTAACAAATTCTCTCAAATACCACATCCAAGCATAATTTTTATGAACAGTTCTTTGTGTGATCAATGATTGTTGCAGAATTTAGCAAAGTTTTTGGTGCTACTGTTTGGTTTTTTCACTTGTAAACATCATTCAATGATGTGACAAACTGCTTAGTGAATTAGCAAATAGTGTAAAGGATTGATACAATTAGAATATCAAAATTTTTATCCTGATGAATTCTATTTGGTTTTACAAGGTGAAAAGAATAGCTCGTCGTTACAAGACCCAAGTTGATGAGCAAACAAAGGAGATGGAAGAGCTCAAGAAAAAGGTGAATGAGGCTGGGCTGTCCACAGTCAAGGGAACAGCAGAAGCTGCTTCCCCTGGGGTCACACCTGCAGAAAATGTTGATGTATCAGCACAGGAGAACAAGATGAAAGAGCTAACAGATCAGGTGAAGAATTATGATGAGGAAGTAAAAAAACTAAGAAAAATAGCTCGTCATTACAAGACTCAACATGAGGAACAAACTAAGGAAATTGACAAACTTAAAAAGAAAGTCGGAGAGTCTGGGCAGGCCTCAGCAGAGGGAGTATCACCGGCTGATGCATCTAGTGGGAGCAGTGATCTGGCATCATACGAGAACACGATTAAAGAATTAACAGAACAGTTGAAGACTGCAACAGATGAGGTGAAAAAACTGAAAGAGTTGGATGAGCAGAATAAGGTTAGTTACCCCTTTAACTCTTAGGAGTGCCTGGTGTCTTGTTTCTCCCTACATTATTTTTCTTGAATCAGTTGTAAAAGTCACAAGAATACAGAAAATGATCACCAATTCAAGAAGCTCCTGATTGTCAAACAAATTCTCCTCATTAACATCGTATAAAGCGTGGAGAGAGCAGTGTGAAGAATATGATGATATATGTTAGGGTGTAGAAAAATGTAGTTTTGTAAAACAGGCTGAAATGACAAATGATGGCTTTGATAATCATGATGTTTTGGACTCATTGCTTTAAAATGGTGAATGAGATGTGTGAGGATTAGAATCATGATTGCAAAATTTTTAAGTAGCCTGTCATCTCAGCAATACAATATAAGTTAGAATTATTATTTATTAACTGACATCCATAGAGCTCAGCAGATTGGATAAGACCACTTATATTTTGTATTGAAGAATAGTTAAGTTCGTGATAAAACCAAACCAATAAAAGGCTAATGCTGCCTCATTTTCATTACTTACTGTAGATATCCCTGAAGGAGAAAGAGGATAAGAGCAAGAACGTGCTGATACAAGCGAGACAAAAGCTGCAGCAACTCACAGGTATGATAAGGAATGAGTTTGATGTAATGTCAAGGTTTTCATTAAGAAGTAATTAATGAAGGAGAATAAGTATTAAAGAATATTTCCAACTTCTTAAAAAAAAAGGGAGAGATCCAGCTATTTAAATTCGGTGATTAACTATTATTTACTGAAGTAGAGGTGAGTAGTGGTGGATACAGCTGAACCTGTTTTAAGGGGTCACTCACAGGGAATGGCAGGGTGACAGCTAAATACAGGTTGACTGCTTAATTTAGGTTCAGGGTATTATACAAATTGATGCACAAGGCCACTTGATGCCATAATTGATACTACTTTGATTTTAGGATTTCAGGAGAGAAACCTGGATTAAAAAGTACTTGAAAGCTTATTCTTAGTTTTATTTGAGTGGTTTGGGGTTAAGTGACTGTTCAAAACAGGTGGAAGATAGTACAAACAGAGCCTTTGGGACTCAGTTAAGGGTGACCAGGATGGCTTAATAGAGGTGACCACTTAATAGAGGGGGAAATTACAGAGATTAAGGGGAAAGAAATATTTTGGTTGTTGGCAACTGACCCCTTAATACAGGGTGACTGCTTAATGCAGGGTGACCCCTTAATGCAGGGTGACCGCTTAATGCAGGGTGACCCTTTAATACAGGGTGACCGCTTAATGCAGGGTGATCCCTTAATGCAGGGTGACCGCTTATTGCAGGGTGACTCCTTAATACAGGGTGACCGCTTAATGCAGGGTGACCCCTTAATACAGGGTGACCGCTTAATGCAGGGTGACCCTTTAATACAGGGTGACCGCTTAATGCAGGGTGACCCCTTAATACAAGGGTGACCCCTTAATACAGGGTGACCACTTAATGCAGGGTGACCCCTTAATACAGGGTGACCACTTAATGCAGGGTGACCCCTTAATACAGGGTGACCCCTTAATACAGGGTGACCCCTTAATACAGGGTGACCCTTTAATACAGGGTGACCGCTTAATACATGGTGACCGCTTAATGCAGGGTGACCCCTTAATACAGTGCTGGTTAGTAGAGGTCTGACTGTATGTAATGTGCCATGAATGTCACGATTGGTAAACTGAAATGATTCATGTAACAGGCACCAATGAAAGAAGCATTCATCTACATTGAAGGAATGTAGAATGTATAGGAAACAACAGATAAGTGAAAATATTCCCCTATGGCTTCTAGAAGGGTGTTAAGGAGTTGTTGCAACATAATTATTTTATGATGTCCTTCTGATTATCATCAGCTATGAAGGACAGACTGAGCACAGAAAATGAAGACCTTAAAAAGAAACACAAGTCACTGAGTGAGGAGAAGGAGGCACTAACCCAGCAACTGACTGAATCTGAGATGAGAATGAAAGTGTTAAGCTCACAATTTGAAGGGAAAGTAACAAAGTTAGAGAAGGAAGCACAAGATCATAAAGCAGATAGAGACGCAAAGGAGAAGGAAGCTGAAGAAATGAAGAAACGAATAGATGAGTACAAGCAGAAAGAGAAAGTGTAAGTTGATTTTTCCAAATCCTGCTGTAGTGTTGCCCAGAGCTTTTTATGGAGAGCATTTAATTTACTGATGACCATTTAAAAATTTTAGGTTGCCTCTTGGCAGCTTTGATGGTAGTTAAGCATAGAGCCCTTTTGTAGCAGTCTGTGATACCATGGTATTTTCGCTGATACTAATATGTAAACAACTAAATTACTGTTGGTTAACTCTGTTACGCTCAGGCTGGTGAAATGACTTTGTGAGTGATAATAATGCAGTTGAAAATGGCTTGCTACTTGAACAAAGAAAATGATCTGTCACTTGTTGAATCTCTGAATAATACAGGGAAAAGGATAATTTTAACAAGTTAATTATTTTCTTTGTTGTACTGTGACAGTGATGTAGACAAACTTCAACAGAAGCTTCAACAATATCAGGCACTGATACACAAACAGCAGATGAAAATAAAGTCTTTTGCAGTCAATACATCAAGTTCCATTTCAAGACCTTCCTCAGGAGAAGTGACTGGAGCAGAGACTACTACAACTCAAGGTTAGTACAAACAGCTTCAGGAAAGTAAACTTTATTTCATAACAGACATGTACTTTATTTGGAACCAACTCACCCTTGCTCCCTCTGGCTGCTAAGAGTGACAAGCATCTAATTTCTCCTTACAATATCACCCCTTAATTAAACATTAAGGTCACAAGAATAAAGGAAATGATCACCAACTAAGGAAGCTCTTGGTTAAACAAATTCTCTGCCATAGGAAACTTATAAAGAAAAATATGGAGGAGATGCATCCATGTTAGGGTGTGAAAGGGTAGATATTGGTCCAAAATAGTGGCCATTGTTAATCTGTTACAAAGGCTGATTGGCACCAAGTAAGGGTTATAGTTTTGTTATCCCTTTGTTTAAAAGCCTTTCTTATAGATAATTTCCCTTCTACTTTGAAGGCCATCCAGTCATAACATTGTCAACAAAAATACTTGTACTGAATTTTCCTTTAAAGCTTTCAGATCTTACCGGTAAATCAGATTTCACACTAACCCCTGGGTTATCTTAATTCAGCCTTGACCAACCCAACCCAGCATTGTTAATTAAAGATGCATCATTTTTTTTACAGCAGAAACGCCAACAAGTATCACTGTTACATCAGCACCACCAATATCTCTAGTACCACCAACAGCAACAATTAAACCAACCACCACCCCCACAACACTTAAACGCTCTGGACCTAAAGCTAGTGTGAGACCTATAGCAGTTGCACCAACACAGAGCACACCCACCCCCACAGCAACTGTTTTACCTACAGTCACGTCCACCCCCTCAGAAGCTGTAAGTGTTGCTGGAACCATCAGGGTGCCAGGAACAGCAATTTCTATAGCGAGCAGTGTGTCAACCTCTGTACCAACAACAGTGTCTGTCCGTCCAATCACCAGTACCGTAGAAGTGCAGCAGCAACAGCCTCCTCAGTAAGTGCTGCATGAGTTGTACACTAGCTAGGTACCAGTAGTTGATACGTTAAGTAGAGTTCAGCTAGAAAACAGAGGTGTGTTAGTACCTGTAGAATGTTTTTCAATGTAGCAAGGGGGGAGGGGCATTGAAAATGCACTTGCTCACACTGCTGTTTAACCCTTTCACTGCCAAGATCTCAATATAGTAATTCTCCTTACTGTCTGCCATACAATTCATATCATGTAAGTTTGGAGAATTTGGTATTGGATCAACTAAAATCCCCTTAATATTTTTCTGTATTCTCAACAGTTTTCTGTTTGACATTGTCTTGATATTGTAAGGAGAAATTCTGTCTTGGTCACTCGTGGCAGTAAAATGGTTTACCCTTTAACCTGTTAGGGTGACTAGCATCTAATTAATTTTCTCACCAATGTATCACTGCCGAGTCAAACCTTGAGCTAATGGGAACAAAATGTCAGTGCCATAGGAAATGCTTGAAGAACAGTATGGAGAATTTGCATGTTGATGTTGGGGTGTAAAGAGTCAAGCCATTAGCCCCTAAGAGTGACTAGCTTGTAATTTCTCTTTACAGTGCATGCTTTTTATAAAACCCTCATAAGAAAGTCAAGTGCATGACCATAGCAGAACACTTGAAAAATGAAAATAACAGAAAGACCCAATTAGCCTTGAATAACATATTTTGGTGTTATCAACTAAGTTGATAATTAAAAATGGGCCACTGTGGTATCACCCCTGAATCACACATCAAGGTCATAAGAATATTAGAAATTATCAACAACTACAGACTGAAGCTCTTGATTGTTAGGCAAATTCTCCTCATCAGCACCTTAGAAAATGTATAGAGAAAATGGTTAATAAGTGAATGCCTCAACTGGACTGATTTCTGAAGTTATTCAGAATTTCCTTTTTGTTATTCGAGATCCTTCTTTGTTACACTTATGTAGTTAAGATTACTGGTGTTTTGCTGGCCTTGTTGTAATGTTAGCCTTGCATTTGTAGCCTTATTTGAGCTTTATCCAAAAGCTCTATGATTACATTGTAGAATTTGTCCATTTGTAAATGGGAAGAGTCAGCAAAAATGGCAGCCCACAAATGATTCTTGTTTATTTTTAAATTACATTGACATCACTTCTTCTTCTGGGTCCAAGAGCTTGTGATCCCCCCCACCAATTCCTTTGTAGGTGAATATCAGCTTGGAGCATTTTTCAATTGCTAATTCTTTATCTGCTGATTGAATTGTAAACTGTGCCATTGAACTATTCTAGAGGGGAGTCTGAGGTGTCATCCACTGAAGTGACAGCCAGTGAGCAGTTGCAGCCTACTCCGTCTACAGCTGTAGTATCAGGAAAGCGACAGAGAGATGAATCCCAAGTGACTGACAGGTATAATTGCAGCCTATGCAATGTCTTCTGAAATCTTTCAAAATTATCTATTGGTTTGAATTCCCATTTAATGAGTATTTTTTATAATTTTGTTTTTTAATTCCTGTAATGACAAAGACACTCATAAACAGTTTACGAGAGTTTTTGAGAGAGCTATCTGACTAAAGAAACTTGACCCTTTGACTCCTGAGATACTAGCATTTAATTTTCCTTTTCAATATTGTCATGAGAATAAAAGAAATTATCACCAACTAAAGAAGCTCTTGATTGTCAAACAATTTCTCCTAGCCAGCTTTTAAGGAAATGTATAAAGAACAGTATGGAGAATAATTTTACAGAATGATCTTAAGGTGTAAAGGTTGAGGTTATTATCTGGGTAATTTCCATGCTTGATTAGTGACTTTCTATGTAATAGAAGTGCCACTGAAGTTGTGGAAGGTACAAGTACAGAAGATGAACCTGTGCCAAAGAAAATCAGGACTGTAGAGGTTTGTTTTGGATTTAAAACTTTTTTGTTTTAGGCTGTAGGTTGTAGATTCAATCAGCTGTTCCAGTCAAAACTCTGACTACTTAAATGTGCTCAGACAGAGTCAATTCTTCTTGTCTTGGTCAACTTAGTCTTATTTCGTCTTTTGACATTCTTGTTTTGCTTAGCCTTAATTTAACATATTTTTGTCAGTTGTATTTTAGTGTAACATGCATTGCCCAAAAATATGGCAAAAACTGCGACCAAAAAATTGTAGCTGTTTTTGAAAGCAGTGCAGGTTGTTTGTATGCTTACTATGATCAGGGGGGTCAAATTAGATTACTGATTATATAGAGTTCCTAAAGGTTATCTAATACCTGAACAGGGTTGTCAGAATTCTTAATAATTTAATGCAGCGAGTAATTCTTCTTTTTCAATAGTTTTTTTTTTGTTTGGTTATACTATTATCTGTCTTTTTTCCAACAAAAAAAAAAAAATAATAAACATAGTCCTGAAGGTAACTTGCAACATTAAAAAGCTGTAGACTATTGTAAATTAATTATGATATGCATTCAAACTCAAGCTCCATGTGGAAGATGAAGTTGGAACATCACAAGAAGAGTTTGAAGACACAGCTGCAGATGGCACAGGTGATGATCAACTTGAAGAAGAGGAAGAAGGAAAGGAAGAGTTTGATTTTGAAGGATATGAAGGGGAAGAAGGTGAAGAAGAAGAAGAAGAAGAAGAAGACCAGGAGGCACACGATTCTGGAAGACAAGAGGTGATTCAGGCTACAGCCATAGAACCAGAGGTAGTTTTGATTGAAAGTGATGAAGATGAAGATGTTGAGGAAGAGAATGTTGATGAAGATGAAGAAGAAGAGGAGGAGGAGGAGGATGAAGATTATGTAGAGCAGGATGAGGATTATGCTGAGGGAGAGGTGAATGAGATGGAGGAAGATGATGAAGGTGAAGATGAGGAAGAAGAGTACATGGAAGGAGATGGTGTTGAAGAAGAAGATGAAGACATGGATGAAAATGGAGAGGATGATCAAAAGCAAGAGGTGGTAGAAGTGATTGATGATGATGAAGATGACATGGATGAAAATGTGCGGGAAGCAGAAGCAATTGAAGAAACGCAGGTGGGAGAAGCAGATGCTGGAGAGATAGTAGTAGGTTAGTCTCTTGGGTTCTTCACAATTAATTTTTGGGATGCTAATATTTGGCCCATGGAAAATAAGGTGTCTTTGTAACATAGTCCCATTCTGGGAATATTCTGTTTTTCTGTCTGTATCTATTTAAATATTTATTTTAACTCCCTAACTACAGGTAATTTTATTTCCAACAGAGGAGGATGTTGCTGAAGAAATACAGGATCGGAATGAGATTGTACAAGCTGAGACTTCTGAGGCAAACTTAGAAAGTGAGATTTCCACAACAGAGCAACTTACAACAGGAGCTGCTGTTGAAAGTCAGATATTGGAAGGGGCACAGAGATCTGCCACACCAACAACATCAGTCACAATTACACAGCGGCTCCTGTCTGCTAGGTCTCATTTGGCACCATTTTCATTCCCTCAGGTGCGACATGATAAGAATTATTTCCTAGCTTTTGAAGTTTACACTAGTATTGGTTGACACTGCTTAAGAAACAGTGAGAGTATCTCTTAAAATTGCAGCTGGCTGTTCCAGGTTATAAGTGAAGTCAAAGTTTGTGCCACTTCTGCACCTGTTCATTTGAAAATGTTTGTCGAAAGAACTCTGGAGATACTAGATTTCTCTCTCTCAGCATTAAGTTACCTGCAAATGAAAGACAGGAAAATGTAATTATCTCGAGATGATACAGGATTTTCTCAAACTTTTGAAGTACAGAGTAAGAGGAGTCAGGTATCAAGTTTGGCAACCATTTTATGCCATTTCAATCCCCTCATCCTGATTTAAAAACTGAATTGACCACCAAATTCCTGAAGAGTATCCTTTGAACTCTGCTGGCAGATTGTCTAGCTTTAGTGTGTTGCAATTTTAAGAGTTGCCATTAACATTCCTTGTAGATTGTAGGCATGGTTGTGAATTAACTCCCTTAGTAGAAAATGAATGCAACCCAAATTTTACCTTAAATTGCATAATTATTTTTATTTAGGGCCAACCAGCTCCAGGTCCATTTAATGAAGAAGAAGACTGTATGGTGCCCAGCACCCCTACATTGTATGTGCCAAAGAGAACTGATGGTTTTGCGGAGGCTATAAGGTAGGTCCTGTGTCAGAGAAAAGTAGTTAATATGCAACACCTCTACCATTAGTATCCATACCAAGCAAAGAACCTACATCCAACTTGTTATTAAAGTGCGTATAAAGACATGTACAACC